CCCCTACACCATGCAAAAAACCGTTTTCAAAAAGCGTCCCACGCCCTGAAAGACCTTTTTTGTTAGAACTTCTACCAAAACTAGGTGAACGTCAGCAGGAGATTTGGGAAATGAAGATTCTGAGGTGAGCACAGTTTTCATGGTTCTCTTGGAAGTTATGCGGAAAACAGATGGTCCATTCTGGTTCACTCGGAGGTAAAGTGTATTTGAACGTTTCTTGCAGTCGAGGTTTGAAAGTTACGTGAACGTTACTTACGTTACGATAAATGTTAGAATGCTTAAACGAGTTTCAATTTTAAATTTTAACCTGCCATGTGTTCATGATTGGCAAAATGTACTTGTTCCTTTGTAGCTATTTTTCGAAGTTTAGTGGCAAGTTATATTTCCAGACCTTATATTGCTGCTGATCACCGCGTTGGAATTAGAACAACTACCACGCTAAAAATACTTTCTCAGTCAACTTTGCATCAATATAGATGGCTCAGAATCGAACAACAGTAGAGGCAAAAGAGGAGAGAGTAGAATCATGTTTTACAGAGCTTGAAAGAATCAAACCAGCTTCTGACTGTTCAGCCAAATGTTTTCACGTGGGGATAAATATAATGGCGAGTAGCCGCTTCACGTAAGAGTTAAGGAGCATCTGAATGGCACAAGACGATTGAAGCTCGGTGAAGTCAAAATCATGTGTGGGCTTTTCAAGGTCCTTGAGGGGCCTCGGCACGAGAAACAACTGAGCGCGCGAGAAGTTCAAAACCTACCAGGCATTTTGGATGCAGCGCACCGATCCAAAGACTACCCGGGAAAGAGTGCCTCATGAGTGCAGAGAATTGCGGCCTTACATGAAGCTGGATTTTCCACAGTGATTTCAAGTGGCGATGAAACTAAACTAACACAGGTTCATTTACCAGTTGGTATATGCACGCTGACGCTGATTGTATATCTACGACCGTTTATCTGGATGACATCATTCAGCGGAATATTTGATGTATCAGAATGGGACAGTTCTCTCTAGGTTCGGACGCTGGGATCGCTTTGAGGGATCAACCCGATACAGAGCACGCCATAAATATGGTAAGAAAATAATTGTTGTGCAGAAGCCGCAATACGTATTGATACATCTTGAATTTATGTGAACTATTTAATAGGCTCGCATCAACAGAATGAACGCATGGTCATCATATGTATATAACCGTCTCCTGTACTAATAGATCGAAGACTCATCGACGGTGGCACGCAGAGTTTCTTGAGGAACTCCAGTCCTGGCTTTTTCAACGATTTCCTAGGAGCAGCAACAGTGGTGTATTTCAAAGCGCAGCCTTCCCTCTCCTCTATACACCATGCCCACGGATCCACTGGGTTGAGGAACGGAAAATTCGTAGACGAATTGGAAGCAGAGATGAAACACCAGTCTTCATCTTTTTCCATTCGTGAGCAAGTACGCGAGTGTTTTCAGATCGTATCTTGAAAACAATCTTTAACCCTAAACAGCACCTTTTCAAAAATGTCCCTCATGAAGGTGTTCCGATCAATTTTATACTTTTCTCGACAGAAAATGAGCGGTATCGCTCTGATGGTACAGACTCCGGCCCAATGTATCACAGAGGAGGAAAATCCTCACGAGAAACGATCTGCCACCTGAATTCTTCTCCACTTGTAGTGAGAAATATACGTGTAATCTGGAGCTGAACATCTTTTCCACGCTGAACACCCTTCTGTCAGAAAAAGGTTATCGAAGCGCGCGCTGCGTGCAAGTATGGCACGGGACTTGTACTTCTTCTTGAACGTCTTCTCATCACGTTGCTCGTAAGGCATCTGGAATTCACCTGCATACCATTGTATTTACTCTTGGAAGATTCCTCCATCGAGGTAGAACATACAGTAGCGCTCAAAAGTCTTCGACCAAACACTTTTGCGCTTTTTCGTTCATAACTTTTTTCTTAGTGGAGCAAATCGCGCGAAATTTTGATATATTTAACGAAAGCATATTTCACACTATCCAACACTTCTTAACTGCGCAGCACAAATATCCGCATAACTAAGAGCAATACTTCTTGGGGTAGTAGATTTCGCTTAAGGCAAAGTTATCGACGTCTACAGTTTATCGCCCCTTATGTGCGACATTCTTTGCTGTGTTCGCTGTTAGCGCTCGTATACTTTGGACATGGCAAAAAGAAACGAAATTTCAGAAGTACCAGTGTCCCTTTTTCCACTGATTTTGAGTTAAGCCCTTTGGTGTATCTGGAGCCCGATCAGGTTGCAGATTAATAGTGGTACATATTCCTAATGCACCTATGCTACACGTATTGGATTTTCGCATGATTACATCAAGCTAGGCAAGCCAGAAAGGAGTTACGATTGAAAAGTGAAATTGAAGAAGCACTTCGATACTTTTTTCGGTACTTAATACTTTTGAGCGCCACTGTATATTCAACTCGGCAATTATTTATCTAGCTTTTCTGCAGTTTCGCAGCGTAATCATTTCCGAGCGATTGTATTCTTAGAGGGGGTCGTATTCGAGACAAGGCGACCATCATTAGGCTGGCTGTTGACTTGTTTACGCATCGCGACACTGGACATTGTTATGCGATAAGTATCGTAACGACGGGAGATTGTGAACTCACCAAATGCGCGCAAAGACCGGACGGCTGCTGGATGATTGCAAGACTTCAAAATTTTTCGGAAACAGGCGGATTGAGAGCATCGAAGTGTGAGAGCTAAGAGATATCATGAACATAAGAAAAGGTGCAGGTCTGGGAAAACGGTCAGAACACGGAAATTGAGGACTTCCGTAGAAGTCTTACCATACTTATGGCGCACCCTGTACGCTACCGGGGCATACCGCTCGATATATTTCATTTAAGCAGAATTATTAGTGATTGATCATAGCCCCGCCCCCTCATTGCAGGCCCTTCCTTGAATTTACGATCTTTAGCCCCTCTCGCCTCAGTGCAAGCCATGCGAATTTTAAGGATTTGGGCATATTCCTCCCTTTACACCCAACCACTCTTTCCCCGCGTTCTAGAGCGTTTTTGAAAGTAAAAAAAGTTATGAGTTTTTGATCCTAGCCTTGCCCACTCTGGCGTCAACCCCGCCCACGCCATGGTTTTATTCATATTTCTTCAATCACCTCTAATCACTTATTTCTGGCGTTATGAAACGTTTCCGAACAGGGCTAGGGACTTTCGATCTAAGCCTCGCCCACTTTCATGCAAGCCCAGCCCACTTCGGGGATTTGGCCACATTCCTCCCATCACTTCCAACCAATTTTTTCCCGCGCTCTAGAAGGAAGTTAGATTTTTGATTTTAGCACCGCCCACCTTAGTGCAAGTCTCGCCCACTCCAGAGATCCGCCTACATTTCTTTCATAGCCTCTAACCACTTACTTTCCACGGTATAGAATGTTTTTGAATCGAATTATGAATTTTTTCGAAAAGGATTCAATTTTTAAATACACGCCCGCCCATTGTGGGCATAGCTTTGACATGTTTGCGTATGTCCGCACGCATAAGGCTTTGATCACTTCGCTTATTTTTTCTCGCCTCCACCCTCTCGCTAAACCGAGTTTTTCTTGTGTGCCAAGTACAACTCACTGCGAGAACGCTCCGCACGCCGCCAGTGAGCCTCCTTCAGTTAACTTGTTGACCCATCCCTCACCTTCGCTTATTTTTCCCGCCGTCTGAGCTGTTCTAAAACCTAATTCAAACATTTTCCCCAAGACACCGCCCATCGTCATGCATGCCTTCCCCCTATGGGCGGAGCTCCACTGAGTTCACATGCTGTTGGGCTCTGTTGGTCTTGTCCTATGCCTAACCCATCCCAAACTTGACCCGAATTACCGCACAAAGAAACACAGACAAATGCGAGCACTTTATATATTCAGAGTGGCTGAAAAGTAGAGGACGTGCCGTTCGGCTATAGCTAGCATCCTGCCAAGAGGTATTTTCAAAACTTCTCTGGGTTTTTAGAAAGCGCGGTAGCTGTCCAATTAGCCTGAAGCCTAAGCCATTCGATTGGCCGTGGCCTTAACAGTCGCTGCGAAAGTTTCTGCACATCGACCACCATCGAGGAGTTGCTGAAAGAAGGTTTCAGCAGTTGCGACGTCGTAAAACGACTCGACCTTCCGTCTCTAACCGTTCAAAATGTCTCTGCTGCTCTCAGGGCACGAGGGCAAGCCTCTAGTTGCCAAAAAGTGGACGACCGGAATTAGTGAACACACCTATGATTCGTGCCATCATAAGGAAGAGGACCACCTGCAGCGATGGAGTCGGCATGAATCGGATAGGTTCCGACCTAAATATCAGAAAATATCAGGTCAGGTCAAACCATTGTCAATTGTTAAATGCGACAAGTTGAACGGTTATTGGCTCTATCGAGGACAGTTTCTTTAAGAGCAGTCCAAACAAAGTCGGCTAATAAAATGAAAACAACATCTTCGAGAGCTCAGGGCGTGCCGCACCTCTCGCGTGATCTGGAATGGTGAGAAAATTTTTACAGAAGACACTGTTCAAACCTTCAAAGCTAGAGGCAGTTACTGTTCAAGCTGGCAGCAGGTCCCCAAAACGTTGTCTTGTGCATAGCAGAGTCCTTCCAAATGTGTAATGGTTTGGGCCGGGGTGACATCAGGAAGCAAACTCCACTGGTCTTCATCGACAGAAATGTGCAAAACTCCGAGGTCTATCATAAGATATTGACTTGTTGTTTGTAAACTGCTGTTATATCGCCGCAGTACGCGATGCGAAAGTCCCGCAAGGATGGCGACTTGTGGACAAAACTTCAATCTCGCACGGGACTCGGACCTGTACTTGTCCTTTCCAGGGACTGTGCTCTTAACCCTTACGCTACCGAAACCCCGCTTGCCCTCGCCTTTAGTTTCAGAGTGCGCACTGTTACCGTGGGTCACTAAACACTTTGGTTACCGCTCGTTTGTCTTTCAGCAAGATTGGGGTCCTCACGTTTCAAAGTCGACGAAGCTGGTACTGATACTGGACGCGCACTCCCGGGTTCTGGATCCAAGACAACTGACCTTCCTCTTCACGAGACCTCAATCCAATGGTCCTCCCTGTATGGGAGTACTTGGAGAGCAAAATCGCAGGACGCTCTTACCGCTCGTTGGTCGCTCTGAAGTTGGCGCTTCAAAAGGCATGGGACGACATCGACGGCGACTACCTGCGGTCCTTTGTTGATTCAGTCATCCACAGTCTAAAGGCCTGTGTAAGAACAAAAGGATTGAACTTTGAAGAGCCCCTGCCTAAGTGATAATTTAGCTTTACTCTGTTCCTCAATAAAGTTGGTGTTCTCACGGCTTTATCTTTGAAGTTATGCCCGCCTACGAATATGGCGTGTTATTCTTTTCAGCCACATTGTACTAAGGATCAGGTATTGGATGTTCTAGAGTTGCTGCCATGAATGATCCTTCTGATTACATGGTGCCCTGTGAAGTCTCCAACTCAAATGGAGCTGTGGGAACACTTAGTCAGATAGTCACAAACTGTTCTGATCTCTTCAGGCTCCTGTTAATGAAATTCTGCCCAAAAAACCCTGATCACGTTGCAATCTTGCATAGTGTTTATACAAACATAATCAAACAATGTTTGACAGGTTTGCAATGGCTAGCATATGAGTTGTTGCATCGCTGCCAAATTATCTGACATGACTATCGGGAAGCGGAGAACATGATAATCGCGACGGCACCTCAAGACTCATAATTATAGCAGTTTTAGTACTCTGCTACTGGTGATGGGTGATGCAATTTCCTCGAGCTTTTCCTAGTACCACCGATCTTAACTTGTTTGATCCCCACCCCACCCTCCTTCCCCCCACCTTTCACCCCTTAACAAACTCCTCCCACTCCTATCCTTCTCCTAGTCTCCTTGGAGTATGAATCTCTTCTAATTACAGGAGAGGAATTATTTATGACTCAGGTTCACTGCTGTGTCGATTGATTTGGATCAACAACAAGAGTTTATGGCTGCAACAGCTGCTGTTTCCTCATTGAAGCAGCAAGTAGACGCTTCTACACCGCTCTACGCCGTTCAGTTTGCTGGAAACACATCTGCATCCGACACTCCGACTTGTACAAATTATGTGTCTACGCTATCACACGGAAATCGACTCCCTAAAAAGGAGGTAATGTCAAATCGATGTTGCTTGGAAAGGATTGAAACTCATTTTAGATTTTCATAGGAGAACCCATTCAGTATTGAGGGTCACATGCTGGATGGAAATACAGAGAAACCATATACGCTAGTTCTCACTCATTCCTGTAAAGCACAGTCCGAAGCTGATGCAGTTACAATTCGAAGGTCAATCTACCCCACAGAATTGAAACCTTTTTTAAGCTGTGCTACGCGAGCTTTTGTAATTTTGGGTTTGTATTTTAACTGCATATGCTTCATGATCAGGTCGCGCGGTAGAAATATCACTAGCGAGACATTCGTGTGCATGCACCGCGCTCAACCGATGTTCGTTGAACAGAAGGGGAATTTATCAATGTACAGCAACTGGCACCAGGTTTGTTGTATCTGTGGCTCTAGATTTGAATTTGGTTATGGAGTAACACCGATTCTGAAATTGTTCACACAGTTAATATGTTAAGGTGAACATTAACGAAACGGAGTCAAAGCTTAATTTATTGTACATGGGTATGTGTTCTACGAGACCGCGAACGGGAGTAAAGCCATTTTGGCGCTACAGTGTCGCGAATCGTGACCACGGACAGTACAAGATGACACACTCGTCTTTTTGGGAATACCGACATAAGGTCTTGTTCGCACTCATTTCAAACCCATTTTCATCACCCGGACTCTCGCTCCCAATTTCAAGGTGAAACGACATACGGGCGAAGCACAGACGTTATACAGAAAACAAGAAGTTCTTCATTTCTTGGGCACGCATGAGCAAGATACGAAACCGGTTGTTGATGAGGTAAAATGTTTCGACGAATTTTCGTGAAAACCGCAAGTGGTCGTTTTCTAGGCGAATAGTATTGCTTGTTCTACAAAAATCAATTGTAAGGATTGTACCGCAGTCAGTGAGGAATTGTAAGCTTTCCACTACACTTAGAGGCGATAAACATCTTTATGACGTTTTGCAACCACATTTAGGACGTTTGCTAATGCTAATACTACTAGCAACCTTACTAGAGCAACTGTGGAAGCAATGAAACCATCGAGGAAGCAGAATGCTGCTATCGGAGGATATCGAACAGATGAGGCGAGGTTTATCTAAGAAACAGCTTTTGTTCGGTGGATGTACTTTCTAGCTTACACGGTTTCGAAGTGAATTCAGTTAAAGTTTAGTGTGGCGAAACGGCTGGACTAGTGACAACATTACGCATAGAGAGGTGCAGTAAAAGCATCGCAGATTTGAAAAGTGAGCAGAGAGTGGCGGCTTCACACAGCCTACCCTTTTATCCATCGTACTTTCGCAAAATTTGTGAATTTTTCTTTGCAAATCGTATCGGAAGGCAGTTGATAAGAAGTTCCAATTCAAACTTTGTGATAGTGATTGGGCATTAAGATGAATGCTCTTCCGTTAAAACTGCGACGTCGTTATTCTCACCGCACAATGTTTTCTAATTATGTTTCGGGCGTCAATACTTTGCCGGTCATGAAGCGAAGATCGCTGCATGTCACAACTGAGGTACAGTAATGGTGACAGGATCCATATACATTTGGATAAGGGCCGGATTTGGTAATAGGAGAGCAGAATTTGCATTTCAGCTTTACACACAGCTTCCCGTAAGTATTCAAAAGTTGAGGAAAAGCTATCGCTCTCTTACGGGGCAATCCGAGAATAGGTCATAGGGGTCTATGTCATAGAGAAACTGTGGAAGCATTCTTATTGTTTACCTACTCATCTGTTTTCCTCGTTCTGGTTTTCCATGGTGTTAGCCGAATATCAAATGCGTGGCGAGAAATTCTCATTGTTGAACATCATGCATTTTATTTGCTTCACCTTTTGCTCTCCATAAATGTGTGGTGAGGTTAAAATGAATGTGAAGATGTTGGGGGGGGGGGGGTCAAATGCCCCTTTAAAATCTTCACTTTTGATGTGCTTCTTCTCACTTCGGAGTTCATTATGGGCTCAATAATTGACGGGGCACCCTGCAAGATGCCTGTCAGAATTGTAGAGAACCTTGTACGATCAGCGACTAGGGTGGTCACTAGTGTTAGGACTATGTTGGCAATCTTACCGCCACAGAACACGACTAATGTAAAAATTCTTGTATCCAAAGCAATAGCGCAAAAACAACAAATGAATGAATACCGGTCTTGTGCTTGATCCATGGTTGTTGGCGGCCGCTCGAGCTGGGCTAGTAATGGCTGCTCGAGCTGTGACTGGTAGCGGCGCTGGAGCGGTGGCTGGTAGTGGCTGGTGTCTGCTCGGCGAAAGACTCTATAGATATCAATTCCCCTCACCTTTTACAGCGGGTGGGACATGCCTCAGGCGGGTAGGCCACAGGCATTAACTCACCGTACCCGCCTGGGGTTCTCTCCCTCCCGTGGGCAGGTCAGCATGACCCACCGCGCTTGGGGGACAGCCCGCCGGCTTTCTCTTGGCATCCCTCTCCCACAACTTGATATTTTTGCTCCAGTAATCAGATCTAGTTGGAATTCTTTTGGTACTAGCGGAGGAGCAGGGGCTGACAAATAAATTTACTTAAGTGTCATCGCAATACCGCAAGTACTATTCTCTTAATCCTTTTTGACAGCGTCGGTTAAGGCTGTCTTCCGCTGTGTGGAGATCTCCCGTTTATACTTGTAGTCGAAGTACGCGTCTCCTTTTTTGAAGCGAGTGAATCGTAGTTTAACGGAGCTGATGAGAATACATTTGCTCAAAATACGCTGTTGTGTTATGGAAAGTTGTCTTCGCTCTATTGTCGCGACGACAATCCTAGAAGAATATGGTTGAAGGTACTGTTCTAGAGTTGAAATTGTGTTTCGAGTTAACGATGGTAAGGCGACTAAACGTACCTACCACGACAAAATTTGGACATTTTTCACAATTCCCTTATGATAGACCTAAAATAGAATAAATCAAACATACTGATCATGTGAAAGCTTATTCAAAAGGGCTCTTTGTACGTAATGCGGGACATATTTGTTTGGTGAAAAGGCATTAATAGGTCATAAACTCAGGACTTATTACACCAATAAAGGGTTGCTACAAAGTACGGGCCGTTGAAGAGTCGGCCATAAAACTACTTTAATAAACACGACTCATAACGAAACCTTACTATTTGCCAAGCAACACGAGCAGAAACAATTATGTAAGGTTTTGTTCAAAATGTTTCTCTTTTGTCAGACTACAAGTTTCCAATCACTTGTTGAAGGCTTTCACAAAGGGCAGCAGATAGTTGACATCAATATCCTCTCACTACCTCTCACGTGCAATCGTCTAGACTGCGGTGAACAAAAGATGACTCATCCTGCCATACATAGCCACATTCAGAACGGTCCATTGCATTCAGGTCTGGAGAATCGGATGGCCACATACCCTTACCCCAGAATCTAAAAAAGTGGCACCTGCAAGAGGAAATCATGGACTTTGATCCAAGAGCTGGGGCCAAATCCTGCTAAGAAATGAAATTCCGGCCGGTAAAGTGTTTTTGAGCCCATGGGATTGTAATGTCTTCCAAAATAAGATTTTGGTTGGTTTCGGAGTTGCTTTCAATGTTAATAACCAACAAAAAATGAGAAGAGTTCTGCCTGTAGATGTTTTCCCAGTCTAAATCATCGCTGACTTCTGAAACAGGCTTCTAGTTCCTATCCTCCGAATTCCTTGCGGAATCGGCAGACGCCCTACAAACCATCTGCCGATTCTTCTGGCTGTTGTGAGCAACCTCGACAGTGTAGATTTTCTTTGGTCCATAAAATATCTGAAAGCCCTGTGCACTGCTGAGAGGATTTTTTCCATACTTCAAGTCCATACTTCTTCGCAGCTGCTGTGAATGTCTGTCTTCGGAGGGAGCGATAACTGTACAGATCCAGAACTTGTTTGACAATACTCTGAACGCTTCTGCGCGATATTGAAATCCGAACAATTCTATACAAAGTGGCTTCGTTGTTGCAATAAATCCTTCTTTATAATATTTTGGAACCATGCATTGACAGTTCTTGGCTGGCCCATTTTACGAAGTGGCGGATGATGTCCTCGTTCCTTGTATCGCTCCACTATTCTTCTTACTGCTCTGCCCTTTACATGAGGTCTTGTTACAGTCCCCGCAGCACCAAATCTCTGTTCGACGAGGTACGCGACGGTTACATGTTAGACTTGCTTTACTCAAAGTATATGTCACGCGGCTGAAACAGGAGCTGATAGGTTGTAGAGGACCCTGCAGAATTGGTATACCATATTTTGTAGCCCTGTACTATGCGCAAAATCCAGCCTGATAAGTTGTTAGACCAGAAGAGAGTTATATCACATCTAGCTCTCCTCATTCTTTGGAAGCGGAAGATGTGACGAAATTGTGACTGATGAAAAATCGGGAACTTTTTGAATATTACTTTCCACGACATACCCTCAACTCTAATATGTGCATCGCTGCTGAAACGCTATTACCAGAATTTAGCATCTCCAATTTGACATGTTTTCATTTTTGGTCAAAAGGGTTCCTGGGGTAAATATTCATAGAAAGAGGTTTTTCTATGCTTTGCCAGTGGTCTACGACGTATCTTCTTCAAATGGCATGAGCCCACGTGCTGTGGCAATGCAACGCAGGGTTCTGGGGTAATTATTCATAAAAAAGAGAGGAGTATCTCTCTCCCAGCAACTCTTTCCTGTCTTCATGAACTCTTTCCTCTTTGATATTTGGTTGATCAAAAATTTCGATAGGGTTTTTTGAAAGTTCATGAAATTTCGATTATTAATGGATACAAATGATGCACCACTTGGTAGTAGTAGAACACTCTAGAACCTTCTCCTAAAGAGTATATATAGGCGCGCTTCCTCCTTTAGCTTAAATTCCACGAGACCATGTTCGATACATCATCTTCTACGAGTGGTGCCGCAGCACCGGAGCAACGGCAGCCACCGTTCGCAACATCAACATTGTATGGGGAGGGAGACACCACTACCATCACTGTAGTCCATTGCTGGTTCGCTCGCTTCAAGAAAGGAGGCTCCGAGGGCAAGCCACGGTCTGAACGCTCTCTCGCTGTCGGCGTCTCCATCGTTCTCGACGAGATCAAAAAGGATCTGGAAATTAACACCCGCAGTCTTGCGACGAGACTTGCGTGTGCCCAATCAACCGTTGCCGGTCACCTTCAGACCCTCGGTTACGGAAAAGTGCTGGCTCGATGGATACCTCATGCATTGACCGAGAACGTGCGGTACACCCGGGTATCTATTCGTCAGTCCACATCGCAATGGGTTTTGGAGGATCTAGTTACTGGAGATGTAAGCTGGATCCTCTATGACGCTAACAAGCCCCGCACCGTCTGGCTGCTGCGAGGAGAACAGCCGTCGATGCAAGCCGAGCTCCACCCCAAAAGCCTCTCCTTTGCTTCATAGAGGATTCAGAAGGAATGCTCTACTACGGACTGCTTAAGCAAGGCCACGTCGTCACCGCTCCCTTTTACGCTGGTCAGCTGCAGAAACTTGCGGAAGAAAGTGGGAAGAAAGTGGTTCAAGAAAGTGGTCTTTCGTGCACCCCTTCCATGACACCGCTAGGCCTCCTAAGGGCAAGGAGAGTTGCGCAAAATTAGAGCATCTGGGCTGGGACTCGGTTCCACATCGGCCTGGTTCAGATGTTATTGCCCCCTCAGATTACCACTTGTTCCGGCTACTCAAGGCTTTCCTAGCAAAAAAACAATTCGTTAACTATGACCACCTTGAACAAATGTTCGATGACTTCTTTGGCTCCCAATCTTCCCAGTTCTGGGAGAAGGGCATTGTTGACCTGCCCGTTAAGTGGGACAATGTTATAACTAACGGTGATTATTATATTGTTGACTAGCTTGCATTGTTTGTTGAGTTGTAAAAAAAATCTCAACCCTATCAAAACTTTTTGATCAACCTAGTATTTCACCCCACGTTTCCTCTTCTAATTTCACATTTTTTGATTTATTTCATTTCGATTAATTATTGTGTGCATTTTTGTTGCAGCATCGTTAGATTTTACTTTTGTTCAATAACATGCGTTCTGTTCTTTTTCATCCGTCTTCCTTTAGGGGAACGAAATGGGGATCTTGTTGTGACATTACCGATGCTATCATTTGTTTTATTATCATTGTTGAGGTAGTTTTAGTCCTAACGTAGAACCGAGATTCCTAAGCTGTATCTAGGTACTCTAACACCTCGCCGATTGGATGGCACAGATGAGGAAAAAAGCTTGTGCGTGCCGCTGTTTCTAGTTAATACTCTTACACACGTTCTTGCAAACCATATTCCTTGATGCTGAGCTGGACTCTGAATTCCAGCTGTCACCATGGATGCGGACGATTAGCGGTTTGTAGAGTGGTTGAGCACTAATGTTCAAATTTATGTTATTTGGAGATTAGCTAGGAGTTCAGTGCTAGCCGAGCATTCCAACATTGCTACAGAAACGTGCGAGTCTCCCGCTAGTCTTGCCTTACATAACGCGATCAATCGAGAGTCAAAGAAACAGGGAGAGATGGCAGGCAACTCAGTCTAAAGTTACAGTTTACAGCTTACAGTACGGTTTACATTTTTTGAGACCCCACTCATCTAAAGCATAGTGATTGCTCATGCTCTAATGAGTGGGATTCGATCTAAAACTCGTAGACGCAGTTTCGGGATACTTTGCAGTGTAAACTGAAGGATAGAGAAAATGACGATAAATGAGTACTTACTCGAATTTTTCGCTGTATTACACAAATAGCGGCGTGAGAACCCTTCTAAATGGGGGGTTATGGAGGGAAAAGGAAAACGTCGCTTGAGAGCGGAATTCGTGGTACCATTTTGAAAGCCATTTTGTTACTAGCTCACTATTCCGCGAATTTGATTCCCACCGTCACCATGGACATGTTGTTACCCACTCTTCTTTATAGGTGGGAGAAAACGCCGTCGCCATTGCGCCAATAGGATCGCTTTGCAGTGTGGGAAGGCGCATCCAAAATCAGTATCCAAAGAAAAACGTCTGCACTATAATCTCATCAAAATACGACCGCTTCGGCTTGGGATGAATCACTTGTGAAATATGCCACATAAACTAGTTGCATATCAGCATCAGCGGAGCCCAAGATTCGAACAACGAATTCTCATCGATCCTAAGGTTTTTCAACTCCGCGAAACGAAGAGGCTGCAAGTTATACACGTTGGCATATTGTGAACTGTGATGGGCAACACTAAAAAATCTATAATTTTTTCCAAAGCAGCAGCGCTTACGAGAAACCGTTTGAAGTTATTCGTCATATGCGTTCAGAAGAGGTGGTGTGTGCTTCTTAGTAAATGCTACATAAACCAAATGTCTGTCAATCAATTCGAAATGACATTGAGGAAACGATTATTAATCAGAGGGGGGGGCCATTGATATGTAGAATGCTCCTAGGTCACAGCGAGAACATTGTGGACAAACGATACCATAGCCGAACGGTTCAAAAAGCCGAGAAAAATGTTGTGGACGGCATTTTGGATGTGATTTTTCATATCGCGCGTGCATGAACTTGTTCTCGTTTCTCATGAACCAGTCGGGCCGCCCGGCTAGCGCCGGGCTTCTCTCCTTCTTATGGTGTCGCCCCTTCCTGTAAGAAATTTGGTATGCATAAATAACACTTCGGATTCTTCTCTTTTTTTGAAAACTCTACACACTCAGTATTAGCTCCGTACTGGGAGCGGTTTTTTCTGTAAGCCATCTTCGCTGTGTCCGGATAGAACATCGTATAATATCACAAGGGCGATTATGTAGAAGAAAAATATAGATGAGCTAAGGAAGCGTACCTCCATGGAATTTCCGTGCAATTGGAATACTCTGAACGCCCTGAGGTCAAATTATCAATTTTTGCGCAAACCCCGCCCCCTGGGCGGGGTTCTTTCCTGCCATCTATAATAAGTGCTCCCATCCTGTCGCCTATATTCCTACCAAATTTGAACGCTCTAAGGCCAAATTGACAATTTTCGCGCAATCCCCGCCCCCTGTGGGCGATTTCTGGTCCTGCCACCTACAGTGAGTGTTCCCATCCTGTTCCCATTACTCCTACCAAGTTTGAACGTTCTAGGTCCACGAGGACAGAAGTTATGAATTTCCGCCTAAACATTCATTTCGCATAAACCCCGCTCCTTGTGGGCGGAGTCCAGTCCTGCCATCCTCAAAAGTGTTCTCATCATGTTTCCAGTAATCCTATCAATTTTGAACGCCCTAGGACCAATTTGACAATTTTCGCGCAAACCCCTCCCCTGTGGGTGGTGTCGGTTCCGCTACCCGCTGTAAAACCCCTCCCCCTGTGGGTGGTGTCGGTTCTGCTACCCGTTATAACTGTCCAAATCCTGCCGCATGCGCTCCTTAAAAATTTGATCCTCCTAGGTCCACGGTGACAGAATTATTAATTTCTGTCAAAACCCCGCCCTCTGTGGGCGGGGTCCTTTCCTGTCGACTATAGTAAGTTAAAATTTGAACTTTTTAGGCCCACAGGGAGAGGAATTGTTAATTTATGTTCAAACCCCGCCCATTGTGGGCGGAGTCTGGTTTTGCTACCCTTCATGAGTGTTTTCATCCCACCGCCGGTACTCCTTCCAACTTTGAACTTGTGGATCCACGGGGACAGCAGTTATAATTTTCCACTCAAACATTTTTTCGCACAAACCCCGCCCCTATGAGCGGAGTCCGGTCCTGCCACCCACCATAAAAGTTCCCATCCTGCCGCCTGTACTCCCACCAAATTTGAATGCTCCACGGTCCACGGGAGCCGGAGTTATGAACTTCCGGTCGAACACACACACCCACACACAGATAAACCAACAGACACACTTAGCGCGTTCTATATTGTGGGAATGTATGTGCAAAGTCTCGAAGAACTCCTTCGAACCTCCTAATGGTTACCTGCTTTCCTCGCTCATCATAATAACCATAACAATTGGTCCCTATAAGAAAAGGTATGCATGACCTTCTGCAACGTCATGAGGGATTTGCTCCGAATCCTGTGTAGTCCATCCTCGTAATGTTGGCTCAAATTGGATTCCATAAGTGTCAGTTGGCTTGTTCTGCTTGTTGCTCACGTAATGTCACGATGCTCGAATTTCTTAAACAAGTACGATGACATTATTCAGGATGGCTGAAAAATATAGCCGTGAGGTTTGGCGGTTGCTAGCAATCTGCTGATGGGTATTTTCAAAAACGTAAGATTCTTAAAATATCAGATTCTTAAGAAGCACGAGAACTGTGTTGAACAGTCGCTATAAAAGTTTCTGCGCATCCGCCCATCATCGAGAACTTGCTCAAAGAAAGTCTGAAGTTTTGTGTCACCGCAAAGCGACTCGTCGTTACCTCTTCAACCGTTCAAAATGTTTCTGCTGCTCTCAGGACTCGAGAACAAGCCTCTGAAATGCCAAAAAGTGGACGAACGAGAACAGTGAACACAGCGAGGCTTCGTGCCATTATTAGAAAGAGGATCACCCGCAACGGCAGAGTCAGAATGAATCGGATTGCTTCTGGCCTCCACACCAGCCGTCAAACAGTCCAGAAAATTGTGAAGCGCGTCCTTAAGGTAAGCGGTTATCGGCTTCGTCGAGGACAGTTTCTCTTCGAACAGTCCAAACAAAGTTAGCTGATAAAATGCAAAATGAATTCCTCGAAAGTTTAGGGCGCGCCGCATTTCTAACTTGATCTGGACTCGTGAGGAAATCTTCATGGTAGAACACGTCCAAATCGTCAAATCCAGAGACGGTTGCCGTCAAAAAGTGACAGCAGATCACCATAACGTCGTCTTGTGTACAGTAGACTATCTTCCAAAAGTGTGATGGTTTGAGCCATCAGAGCCATTTGACATCAGAAAGCAAAACAACAGGTTTTCATCGACACGAATGCGCATGCGAATGCGCCTACAGTAAGATTGGACCCCTTGCCTCAAAGTTGGCGGGAGCGGTGCTGGACTCGCCCTTCTCCGGGTACGGGTCGAGGACAACTGGCCTTCCTCTTCTCCAGACCTCAGTTCAATGGACTTTTCTGTATGGCGTATTTGGAGAGCAAGATCCATGGACGCTCCTACCGCTCGTGGGACGCTCCGAAATTGGCGCTTCAAAAGGCGCGGGACAACATCGACGTCGACTACCTGCGGCGTACTGTTGGTTCAGCCGTCGAATGTCTAGAGGTCTGCGCACGAGCAAAAGGACAGAACTTCGAACATCTGCTATCCTAAGTGATCATGTGGCTCTACTCTAAACCTTAATGAAGCTGTTTGTCTTTTGCTCTTTATCTTTGAAGTTACGTATACAAATGTGGCATCCTGCACTTTTCAGCCCCCATATATACCACGTGTGGATGGTTTTGAAAGTGAAAGTTGAAGTGAAAGTTTGTTACTGTGCTCTATAACGGAAGGACAGAAAAGTGTGGAAGAGGTAGAAGTCGGAATAGGAAGTAGAGATCGGTTGAACTGCTCCCTATTCCCTTTTTTCGACTCCAAGGGAATGGACAGATAACGACAGACATTCTTTATACTCTCTCGGGATAGATGGTAAACGACATGGAAATTGCAACACAGTTCCGCGAAATTGACCGAGCTTCAATAGGAAAGGAAACTTCGAATGATGTATTTCGAGGGAATGTGGGAAATACAAATGAATCGATGAGGTAACTGTAGTGTTCTAATCCTTGTGCATTCCCCGGTGAGGGCTTCTAGCCTTTTAAAATTTGACACTTGGACTACGAAGGTGGACCACCCTCCGATTTAAGGACCCATTCTATATCAAGAGAACTTGAAAGAACGTAGTAGATCGAAGTCTCTACCTATCGTTTTTTTCTTGATTTCAAGCATAGGCTACCGTTCAGGACACTGCAGTGGCAACTACTATTACTACTGAAAGAACGACAACTGACTATCCTAAAGAATTGCTGCTAGTTATAGAGACCCTCAAAATAAACGATCATCAAATCTGTTGGAGTGGATGTCATCATACAATACATGTTTCCTATTTTTTGCGTTCAGTTTCTTTTACAGCAATAATACGAAGTGCATCATAATTGGGGACTAATCGACAGAATTATTTGCTTTGTTCCTGATCAGATTTATAGATTTGACATTATAAGGGAGAAAGGATGCAGGCCAGTTGTCTCGTCGCATCAGGCAATCAAAGAGTATTCATGGATGGGAACAATTCGTCAGCGGAATGGGGACACTCATCATCCCGAGTGATCTTCTCAAAACATGCTACCAAAAACGGTGCCCCCAATATGCATTTGCATGCCTCGCTGAAATGCCTTGTTTGAAGCGATACATTGGGTTGATACTTAATTGTGGATTTTTTGAAAATTTTCATCTAGAAAACGATGAAAATATTGATTAGGGACCTTTTTGAGTCATTGCTCCGTAGCGTTGCTACCACCTACGTCAAGTACTGCTTCCCATTTGAAGGCAGTCGGTCGAATCCGCGGGTGAAGGATTGCTGATTCTTGGAGGCGATCCACGCTTTGATTAAGCAGATCTCGTTCCTTAGTTGGCTCTTGCTGATTGTTCTACCGCC